AAAATAATTTCACAATTCATTAACTTAGAACACTGACTCTGCCTTTTATTAGAAAGGTATTAAAATTACTGCGTTTGTACTTCACCTAAAATACTATTTGGTACAATACATCCATAGCAGTTATATGATTAAACTCCAGTATATTTCTTTCTTCGGTTATAATTAAATTTTAAAACAAATGTTTTCTCAAGCTGAATTGTGAAATTATTTTTGCTTCAATGCACTGACTTTAGGTGGATGCCTGTATTCAGAAAGCCAAGTATATTCTGGATATACTTTCCCAAGTTCTGCCACTTAGCTTCAGGTTACTTAGAAAGGTGAGTTGATGATATGTCCAAATATGGCAAAACAAACCATTTCTGGCTAGAGTGCCCACTTCTATTTTTATTAATGGTTGCTTGTTTTGCAGCACAAAGCAGGAAATGGGTATCTAATGGCCCACTGCTCTTGGAATGGCCAGAATGCAGCGTCAAGAGAAAACAGAGGTCTGGCTGGGAGAACTACCAATTTTGGAATCAGATCCTTGGAACAACATGTAGCAAGCCTCACTGTATTGGAGAACAAATGAACGGAAGACGGACGCATTTCTATATTGGATTTGTACTTTTAAGTCTCTCCTAATTGCTTTCTTTTGAGAAAGGTAAAACCAGGTTAGAAAAAGCTGATGTAATCTTTTCACATCTAATAGATGTCACGGTACTTAGCAATTAGCAAAAGGAACAGTCAGATTTAATGGCTGCATATTTTTGTATGGTGAATAACTTTGGGTTCACTATTAATACCGCTATTTTTGTAATCGAGTACATTATGAATGTCTTTATTTTTCAAACCCCAAAGATGCTGCTTTTGAATGTTCATGCAGATGATCTGGCTAATATCAGATATGCTACATGGAAAAACTACTGGTGGTGGTTACTGCTGCTATCCTTTGTTTGTTTAACGGCCGTCACTAATGTGAGTCTTGATCCTTGCCAATATCATTTTGCTGGGGAAGTCCGTTTTGAAAAAAGCTTAACTGGCTGAGTAGCTGGTCAGTCTTTGCCTCTTGAAGTGACTTGCCAAGAAATTCTGTTGCCATAGATAACCACATTTGTCTCCTGGTGGGCAAGGAAGGTGAGGAAGAGAACTAGGAGAGAGAACGTCAAAGAAATCCATGTTGCTGCTACCGGATGCATAAGTTACGATAAAGCTTTAATGATGATAATTTTATATTCATTTAAAAACAGTTTTAACAATATTTAAAATGAAAACTAAAGATCAGTAACAGCATTAAAAAAAAAACAGCTATGTTTAAAAGCTCCCTTTTATCTTATTCCCTTTTATCTATATTTTTATATGCAATCTTTATAGCGCTATCTAAAGAATCTTTTCAGAAATAGTTCTAAAACCCGTAGGGCCTAATTCCCTAATAAATGTGATTATATTTACAGCCTTAAGCATAAAAGCTCGAGCTTTCGTTTTTAGCTTGTTACAGGAAAGCTTTAGACTGACCATTCAAATAAGTTGCAGCTATTAAAAATACTTTATTTCAAAGAGGGCATTATCTACTTCGCAAGTTCTTTTCCAAGCTTGTTTGAGATCTGTATATATTTTAATGGTCCTATGTTTCAGACTGTAAAGTTATCGTTGAATAACTCCTTGCCAGTCTTAAGTACTGTAAACTAAGTACGTTTGAAAATTATATAGCTAATACATTACTCTCATGTCCTTTACATTTTGCTCAAAGGACAACTTGAAGTCACAAGCTAATGATTCTCAATCATATTTGACTATATCATGCGATGTAGGAATTGGGGGGGGGGCAGAAAAATAAAATAAGTAAGCACTTCTAATCATCTTACCTCTTTTTTTCTTCTGTAACTCCAGTCCCATCCTCCACTTCCGTCTGTGGCATTTATATTAATGTTGCAATTGATAAAACATACTCTTTCTTAACATTTGGTCCTGTAAAACCTTGAACATTCACTCTGCAAACTTTAAGGCAACATGGGCATTAATAACTGATGTATCAACTAGTTAATTTATAGGTTCAGTGTTGCTATTCAGCCATCTTAAGGCACCATGTGTAGGCTTCATCACTAAAATCCTCAAGAAACAAAATTAAAAAAAAAAGTATTGATTTGTTGAATTGGCATTTTCAGATTGGATTTTGGTTAATAAAGTAGAAAATGAGTATAATGTACCAATGAAATTAAGTAAACAAAGGCTTTTATTGACATAAAGAATAGTACAATATTTTGGCACTACATCCTTAAATCCAATAGTAAAGTTACAGATTGAATTTTGAAGGTCTTAAACACTGACTTTGTTGTCTGAAAATGAACAATTAAGGTTATAATCACCCAAAAGTAAAGTATGAAAATCCATAAAGTCACTTTTGTATGGGATATACTGGAAGATGTCTGATGTTTTTCATACTTCTGCTGAGTTCTCTTTCTTTGTATTACATAATGATGTGGAATTAAAACGTTTTGACATAAATTCTTCGTATTCTTCCCTTGTCAGAAGCCCCTGAGTTACTTTTTTGCTTTCTTCAAATTTTGGTAACACAACTGCAATGTAACCCTCTGTGGAAGGCTAAAAAAAACAAACACAAACAAAAATATTTGTGAGAAAATTAAAGTAGGGGGCAGAAGGAAAAAAAGAACTAAGTTTGAAATCCTGACCTTTTCTTGTAGAAGAGATGGATTCTCCAGAATATTTTCATTCACCTCTATTAATTTTCCTCTTATACAGCTGCAAAGAATTTTCATTTTATTAAATGCTAGAACAGCATGAGCAACACAATATAAGTAACATCTTACCGCCTTACCTATAGATGGTGTACTCTTCTCCATCTGAGCAAAGAATTCGACATAAAGGAGCAAGTTCTGTTAGAAATTGAGCACCCTAGAGGGAAAAGCCTACAACTAATTAGGATTCTTGCAAAATGGTAACACAATCAGAAACTGATACAATTTAACATTTGAAATTGAATATTTACCATAGTTATACAATTTGGCAGAACTGATTGGGCACTAAAAACCCGTATTAAAACCTCAGTCTTTTATGAAATCCAGAAGGCTTGTAATTAATGTGTGTTACTAATTTTCCACATTTATAAAGCTGCCCAATTTCTTGATGATTCTCAGTAACATACAAATTTAAAAATAAATAGAATAAAAAGATGGTCATTTTGGTGGAACAGACAAATCCTGTCACACATCCCATCCTGGCCCAAATCTTGGGGAAATAGCAAGGTCTTCAAGGCTTGTTGAAAGAAGAACAGAGCTAGTACATTTAAACTTTGAGATGGGGACAAGCTTTTGTATTATAGATTGCATACTCCAAATAATTTTAGCTCTTACAAAAACTACTGACAGGTATTTGAAACTACTGACAGGTACATTTCCATGTGCTATAAATGCTGAAATCTCACATAATTCCAGCTGCTAATTAATATTTGCCAAGGAAAGATTCCCAATATCTGCAATCATAATCAACTACCGCCTTAGGCATCATATTGTCTCTCAGCAAAACTTACTTCACAAGATAATACGTATTATGATCTATCCTGGTATTTCTGATCCAGCTTTCCAGCTACCTCAAACAACTAAAAGACCAGTATCAGACATGTGACCAATTATTTCCATTGACTTCAATAACTTTGTGAGAAAATACCAATGAAAATATGCTTGTCAGGCTATTTTCACTGAGTTTTAACTGCACCAGGTCTAGTAAAGTAGAACCTCTGGTCACAACTATAATTTGTTCCATAACTTTGGTCGCAACCAGATTTGGTCCTGACCCAAACCTAATTTTGGAAATTTGGCACTTACAAAAAAAATGGTGCAAAAGGGGAAAACAGCCGCAAATAATAATAATAATAAT